CAAGGAACGGCTAGCTGCTGCTTTATTCTGGATTTGTGCGAATCTCAGTGTTGGCGCTTTAGGATTCGGTGCAAGCGAAAAACATAAACCCAGGATCACCCCCTGCCTCGGGCCAAGGACCCGCTGAGTCTGTGTCCTCCTCTCCAGCCTGGCCTACGCAGGATCTGACTCCCCACCCTGGTTTTCAGGGGGCAGGGACCCCCGAAGCACAATGCCCCCTTGTTAACTCTGGCCAGCTGGTTCTTGGGAGAATTCTGCTGCCCGAATTCAGCCAACCCACGTGGAAAGCCATCTCCACGCATGACCATCTTGGGGCAGGAAATTCCACAGGTTAACGATGTGCAAGGTGTGAACCAATAAACAGATATTTCAAGGCACCCTCTGTCTGCCCCACAGATAGCAGCCGTTCCAGAGAGATCAAAGTGAAGCCAGTGACCACGTCGGGCTGTAAAAGGGCCAGAGAAATAGTTTCAACGCATAGTATTTTTCTTCTGAGGTCTGGGAGTGGGATTCAAAGGTGCTGTAAGAAAAGAGGCAGCTGGTACGATGTTGTTACGGGCATCTGCTCGCAAGGCGGAAACGCCGTGGGTCCGGTGGCCAAGACCTTTCCTGGAGATCTGGGGGATTAATCTGGTCCAGCTTTGGGAGGGTTTTGGTCCCTGTGGGAGAACCCCACCCACTCTTGGTTGGAAACTGGTTCCATACAGTCAGTGGCCAAGTGGTTTGGGGTTTTGTTTAGTTTTCTTTTTAGAACGGTGGTATTTCTGGGAAAGGCCTTGCACTAAACTCCAGCATTGTGAATTGTTGCAGAAGATGACGGGAAGGCCCAGTGACCTCCCAGGGGTCAGCGTTCAGAGAGCCTGCATTGGTCATTCAATTCAACCCAAGGTAGGTCTGACTTTGGTTCAGCTCCTGGCCCCCCCAGCCCTCCCCTCCCTCCCCCAGTTCCCCCTGTGTGTTTTATGCCCGGTCAACGGTCTGGTGAGCACCCGTTTGGGGCTGTTTACCTGAATACGAGGGGAAGAAAGAAAACCGCCCGTGGCCGGCCTCTATTTTTGCGCCCTCTGACAGGTTTAGCTCCTGGAACCCAAATCAGTGCTTCCTAATTAAGGTTGCCGGGATAAAAGTAGCCCGTGCTGTCCCAAGCGCCAGGGCCCGGGGTGCCCGCGCCACGCGCTGCGGCTGGCGTCGGAAGAGAGCTTGTGCTTGGCTCGGTGGAGAGGCAAGCCTGCAAGAGTGTTTTTCCGGGCGCTTCCCCGTCTGCTGTCCTGGGTTGCTATTCTTAGTGCCCGGGCAGCCTTGACTCGTGGCTGGGGGAGGACGTCCACCTCACAGAGGCTTCCTGTGTCTCTGCTCCGCCAGCCCTCCAGAGTGACCCTGGAATGCAGAGCTTGGTTTTGGAAGGGGCACCGGCCTCTCTCCGGGCAGCTGGCTCGGTACTTGGGTTGGCACGGCCGCTTCGTGGCTCAGATTAGGCAACCTGGGGAAAGCACCTCTCTTACCTGACCGCCACATTCCTCCTCTCACCTTAGGCTCCCCAGCTGGACGGGGGCCTTTCGGCCCCTTCTCCCCTCCCGGGCACCTGCCCTCCGCAAACAAATATTTATCCAAACCCTCCTGCTGAACAAATCTTTCCCCCCTGAGGCTGCCAAGCCCAGCTGGCCTGGGTTCCTGGTGGGCAGCCAGTGGTCCAGCTGGACCTCTCTCGCCAAGCCGCACATTGTTACCTTGGGTGCCATCTGTGAGGAAAGGGGGGCATCAGAGCTTGCTTTAGCCCCATTTTCCCACTTGGAATTTCCCATAAGCCTCTCCCAGCAGCGTCTTCCTGCCTCCAGTGGAGGATCGGCTCCCATCGTGGGGTGAGTAGGTGGGAGGGAGAGCTCATCCTGAGAGCATTGACCCCAGAGCGTCCATTTCCCCCCGATAGTCCTGTGATGGGGGTTCAGGCGATTGTCCCTTCCTTCCACATGGGAGGGTCTGGGTGGCAGTTCCGAGCTGACCTTGTAGGCCAGGGTTGGACCTGGTTGGGTTTCGGATGGGAGACCAACAGGAGAGACTGGGAGGTTGAAAAACTGAGAAAAGGGTTTCTGGGCGGGGAAGGATCGGGCACGGTTTCAGAAGAGCTGCGTCAAATGCACCGCGTGAGGGGTTGGTGGCTGGGCGTGTTTGCAGACCCGACGTTCACCTGAGCAGGGGTGGGTTTCACAGCCTGCTTTTCTGGAGGGTATCTGCTCCCCTCCGGGCTCCGATTTGCTGGATTTGCTGGAGGGTTTGGGCACCAAGAGGGGGCATCCTTGGGGGCTCAGGAGCAGAGCCACCTATGCTGGGCTGAAGAGGGAGATGCAGGGCACCCACTGCCCAGGGGGTTCCTGGCAGCACAGGTTGAGGGGGTGAAGCCGGTCAACTCCGGCCCGTCCCTTTGTCTGCAGGGCTGGCCTGGGTCTTGGTCGGGAGCCCTGGTGGAAACCCGACTGACCACGAGGCATTCTGAGCCCGGGCAGAGAGGACCCATCATCCCCGGTGGCCTGCTTGTGGCCTGGGGAGGGGAAGATGGGGGGCCTGCCAAGAACTGCAGTCAGGCAGCAACCCAGAGACTCCCTTGTGGCCTCAGCGGTCTCGGAGAGCAGGAGACGTCTGCCCAGCGAGAGCGGCCCGAGAAGAGGCATTCTGGCTGCGGTGCCCCCCGCCCTTTTGTCCCCCCCCCCCGGGAGGCAGGAGGACGTGCAAGCTGAGCTTTCTCCGAGGTTGCCCACCCCCTGCAGCCTGAGCAGATGGGCACAAGTGGGAAGCAAGGGGATGGAGGTGGCTGGAGCGTGGCCCGGTGGTCCCGTTGGGGTTTGCTCGCGAGTCCAGGGCTAAAGAAAGGGGGCCTG